ACTTAGAACATATTTTAAACGATGTATAGGCACACTCATATACAACTTTAAAGTTTTACCAAAGTAAATTGTTGTCTGTGGGAATTGTTGTAATTAAATATTATGAAAACATAATTCATTTTAATCACGTGGTATAAACTTATGAATAAAACATAACACCATTTTAACAGTAGGTACCAATGTACATTTAGTAGTAGGTATCTTTTTTATAATTCTAATCGTTATTTTTAATTTTAGTGATTTATAAAAATTGCATAAAAATTAGAAGAATATTTATAGTAAAATTACATTAATTTGATCGTTAGTTTGAGCTCAACTATACTTTTGTACTAATTATATTCCTAAGACCGAAATATTTATTATAATCTTATTTTTATATTTTTATAAATTAAAAACTGCATTATTTTTATTGTGTCATTAAAGTTTGTAAAAAGTTTATGGTTGTTAGAAAAAAATGAATGAATAAACTATCTACTGCAAGTTTTTTGATTGAACTTTGAAATTTAAAAACTTCTTCATTGGACATAAATATTAAATAATATGTAATACTTAAAGGTTAGGATGTTCACATTTCACATTTTCACATAATACTTAGTAGAGACGGACAGCTACTGTTCTGCAAGAGAGTTAAGGTCTATGTATATATCAATTAATATGCATAAAATAATTGATAGATAATGTTTTCCGGAAAAATGAATAAATTATTTGTTTTAATTAAAAAGGCATATCGTGATTTAACCCTTGTAATACCCGGAAATTATACAACATAACCCTATCCCGAGTAAACGGATCGGTGAGCAAAGCAACTATACATTATACCTACCAGGTCTGTATCATCGAGTATACTGCAATATATAATTGGGTTGAAATAGCAATTATTATTTCAGTCACAGTTTTTATGTGGGCTCAGCAAATTCATGAGGGAATAATGTTAAACTTATTTTTTGTTGCTCTTTATATTTAACCGGAAAATAAAAAAACGGGTGACAGGTAGACAACTGATTAGAGTTTGTTTGGATTAAGACGCACACGTCTTTCAGCTCATCTTTTTTCTGGTTCACCCTTTAACTAATATGTATAGCCGTACAGCCTTTAAACGACCCGATCGGTCCATCTTCCATCATCCTCTCGGCGAGGCAACTCTGACAACGGATGAAAAATATGCTACACCGCGGCGTCTATACAGAAATATATAACTAGATTTATAATATATAGCTAATATATTAACGTATATTATTATACACAATTGATCGAGGTGTTTTAGGTGCATGTATACATTGAATACGTACATGATGTTAAAACGGTAAGAAAGATTTTAATTCAGTAAGCCCCCGTATTATGTAAATGCGCTAAGGTATTGGTAATTTTTTTGCGAATTCTTATTATACAAGTTATAAATTATAATACCTATAATCTATATGAATGGCGGCTGTCGTGCTGACAATACGTTTTGAACGTGTTAGTTATATCGCCTGTGCATAATATAATACATATTATAGAAATATTATGCACAATATAATATTATAATCAAACTTAATAAATAATTACACACGTTGAATACATGCCATTGTAAAAATTATTTTCCAACATCATTTAAGTGGAGGCATACAACAAAATAAAGCCGACCAAACTTTTTATTTTTTTATTTCCACTTTATTTTTTTTGAAAATGTCTTATTTTTTGCATTCCACGGGATGTCACACGAGTACATGACCCAATAGTTGTATCGCATTCAATCGCAGTGAACTGGAAATTAAACTACGCCAAGCATATAGTTAGTACCTGAGTGAGTGACGACTTACACGAGTACTATTATATATAATAGCTATGTGCCGTCTCTTTTCTCCTCCAACACAATCCCTGCAAGTCAAGAACCACTATTACGCACCCAAAAGTTATGAATCATAAGTAATTGCAAACAAACGAGTTGGCCATCCTACGATTAAAGTCTATTTTTTTTTCTCAAACAATAACAACAATTTTAAATTCCAAACATTTACTGTTGGTCTTATATAATATCTAGAATATAAGTTTTGTTTGATGTTTATTAAATGAATAGTTATTTACTTTTATTCAGTTTAGGTAGTTGGAAATCGAAAAAAAAAATAATTACACAATCTACAAAACTATTTTCTTTTGGATTTAATTCCATGATTTTTTTTTTTAAGCTTTATACTGAGTTTCGGTTTTCACTTGGTAACATGAGTCACGATTAAAATATATAAAGTAACTACTACTAAATTTGATTATAGGAATGGTTAGAAATATCACTTCAATATGAACCTTTTGACATTTAATTAGATAAATAATGCCTTGATGTTGAAACTCCTAGCGTTTAAATTTTCCATTTCAAACTTACAATACGTATAAAAAGCTGAGTGCACTGTTGGTAAGGATGTGGTTTGATATGATTAAAATAGCTAAATAGAATGAATTTTAATGGTGAAGGGTGTATACTGTATCCATTTTAATGTACAACCATAAAGATAGATCATATTTTAATATATTATATAGACGTAATATTCTTTTTGAAGATGATTTTAAGAACAATAAACTTCCCAGCTAGTTTAATCGTAGACGCGTAATTATATACATGTTTGTATTTTATTTTTTACTTAAACCTATAGTTTTATAAGTCTTGTATTTAATGTGGGAAGTTTTTATTATTGTGTTTATAATTTGAAATAATGACATTGAATGTTAAATTACAGTAAATTTCAATTTTACAAATGCATACTATCCGAGTTTAGTGTCGAAATATATTATCATAATTTGTGTTGATTATATTAATATACTTATGCATGATACAATATGATATGTAATTATATGTATTTATACTTTATAGAGCTGTAATAATTCATCTATCAAAAACTTATAAAAAAATTATTAATCACCTTATATATATACGGTAGAAATTAAACCCATAATATAGTCTTTTAAGCGATTAAACATTATAGTAATTGTATTATACTCATTATTACTATATTATATGATTTTTTATGTATATGGGTAAGTAAAATATAAAACCAAATTGCATATTTACATACCTATACATAATATTATTATACTATAGTGTAAAAGTTATATGAACTACTTATATATACTTTAGAATTTATGACACTTAAGTACTTTGTTGTCTTTACTCATAAGGAATTTAGTGAATATACTCGACCGGTCTTTTTGCAAGTGTCCGAAGTTCTAGAGGCAGTAGTATTATCGTAAAATGTGTGTTATAAGTTATACATTTTAAGTAATCGGACATATTCAATAAAACGTTCAACTTTGTTTAGTACATTTTACATTTTTCATAGGTATTATTAGATTGATTCAGGAGCTGATGTAAGCTTAACAGATATTTAAAAATTACCAACTATGTTAATACATAATACTTAACATTGTTTATTAAATCAAACGCTATGACATAACTACGTATAATTTATGAAAAATCGAAATTGTCAAGTAAAAAACAAAAAACACCGTGTGACCATAGTAGCAATAGCAGCAACAATAATCGTGTTACATAAAATGTACAAATGAACAATAAAAACACCCATTGTAGTATCAAATAATAGTATATACTATATACCATCGTGAACCATGATAATTTTATTGTTGTATTGTTTTGCCGTGTGAAGGTCAGTTTCTGCGGGACGGGGTCTCAAAAGTGCTCTAATCGTTATTTCAATATCCATATCATATTTACAAAACTGTGGCACATTGGCACGTCAGTGTGTAGGTTGTGAGTTTATATTATTATAATATAGTAATGGTAACTTTAAAAAAAAAAAAAGAAATAGTAGAATGGTGAGTAGAAATACAATTATTAAGTTACGCAGCTATCACAACGTGTCTGAAAATAAGCTATAATATGTTATAATAATAGCGGGGAGCGGCCAACATAGGCATTGAACGACAATATTTTTTATTTTACTCAAGATCAAAGCTTAAAATATAATATTATTAGAACATATTATTTTGGTCAACAAAAATAGTTTAGATTCATTATTATTTCTTATAGCTTTAACGTCATTGATGTAAACAACGGTATCGTACTAGTAATATATTATGTTAATTAAACAAGACTCGGAAAAATTGATTGTGGGAAAAAGTTTGATGAAGAAATCATGTGGCAGATTCTGCTATAATGAGCTAGTAAAATGGTCAATGAAGTATTATAAATTATAAGGTCATGTACTATTCATAGGTATTATATTATGCTATATTATTATTTATTGAAAATGTATATGAAGGTGTAGCGGACAAATGAAGCTTATACACTATTGAATAGAAATGTCATAGTGCAGATACCAAAGAATGTCTATTGAACTCGTAGTATAATATAATACATTAATATACCCACGTGGTCACGTGTATATATATATATAAACAGATAAAATTGCGAGGAAACGTATATGTAGTGTTACAGCGAAGAAGAACGAATATAAACACTATACTGACATCCACCGAACGAATGCATGAATTGTCACCACCTGAGAGACGGAATAAGGGACATTAAAGGCATGTCCCATCCGGATCCGGTGCTCCGGAGGTGCCCTACTCATATCAGTTTCCAAATATTTCATATGAAGAGGGATCTGCGGGGAACTCACTGAGTGAGACTTGCAAAACGGCAGTGTCAATATATTTTATAATTATAATTTGATATTTACTGAAGTTATTCGTTCTATAACAATAATTCGAACTGTGAAATACTGAAATACATATGATATGACGTATATTGTTTAATTAATGCGAGGAGTGTATATCATACAATCCATATTTTACTGTATCCAAATTCGAACTAATATTACCTAATACCTATGCGCAACAATTGGTTTAAATTGTATTTGTCAAAAAGCGCGATAAAAATTATTTTTTATTTATTAAACACTAACGGGCTTCGTCAGAAATACTTGATTAACACAATGGATTGATCGGTTAGTGTGCTAAAATATAACAATAACAATAATAATATTTCATCATCGGAAGCTGAGACTCACCTGCAAATGGTCTAGGAACGACTCCAATCCCCTGTCAGTGACGCTGGAAGACTGCAAACACAGCGCCAATATGTTTTTGTTGGGAAACGGGTAAGTGTTGACGAACTCGACCGTATCCTGGTCCTGTGCACCGTAAATGGTGATGGCCGTCATCTCTCTGGCCACAAACGACTTGAACACGGCCGCCTTGTCAGCGTAGTTGTATGATCTGAGCTGTTTGCAGCGGATCACCGGCCGCACGTTGTACCAGAACTTTGGAGATCTGTACAGCACGTCGCGCCACCTGACACACACGCGAGACAGCGGCACGCGGTCGGCGGCCGAGAAGTACGTAAAGAAACCGTTGAGGAACTGCTCGTCACGCATCATCTCCGACCACGTGACCGGCCGCTTGATCCGGTACGTGGCCACGCGGTTACGGACAGGCGTCCGGCCGCGGAACCGCGGATACTGGATGCCACCGGAACCGGATCCTCCGGAAATGAGGCCACCGCCGCCACCGGTACCACCGCCGCACAGCACGTTAGTTACACGTTCCATGACGCTGGTACCGGTCCGCGAGGCCCGGGACGGCGAACCGGTCGCGCCAGCCGAGCTACCGCCGCCGCTGCCACCGGAAGTCGACGGCGATGGTTTGTTGGCCGCCCGCAACGTCAATCCATTGATGCGCTTTGACAGTTCGGCACTGGCACGTTCCACGACGCCTTGGCTGGTCATGATGGTGGTGATGTCGCCCAGTCACGACCGTGTGCACACTACCACTGCAGAGATAGCTCGTCACCGTCACTGCCACCGCAGCCGTCGTCGTGGTGGTGATGGTGCGTCGGACGCTCCGTCAACACTGAAAACGGCGCGGCGGGGAACTTTCGCTCGCGCGTTCCGCCGTCGTTCTCCGCGCGGCGGCGTGCGCTCCGCGCTCGGTAACCGACGACGCCGCCGCCGCCACCCCTCCGGACGCCAACCGCACTCCCCGCCGGCCGACCCACCCGGATCGCGCGCGCTATACGGTCCCGAGGATTACCGCGCTCTTCCGCCGCCTCACTGGTCGGCCTGGACCGATCAATAATGTACGACGCGCGCGAATATCAGCCGCGCGCGAACAAATGACTGTGCGACGACTGCTGCAGCAATAAACAGGGACGACAATATATATATATATTATATGACCGGGCTCAGGAAGAGGAAGTAAATAATGTACCTATATATATATATATATATATATTGTATAATAATTCGCGGGTACAACTGCGAGAATTAATTGATTTCCGGAGTTGCGGCCTATACACTGCATATGACGCGTTGGTATAAACTGTGGCACATCCATAGTCGGACTTACTGTATAGTGCTAAGTGAGGTATATGTACCGTATACCCCGTCTCATACCACCCGTCATTATATGTTTATAGGTACCTATTGTGCGGTTGAATGCCTACATAGCAATATTCGGCCTGTCGGTAAAACGATTCGTTTTTATAATTAACCGGTAACAGTAAAGTTTTGGCCAACACGTCCATATAACATTATACATACAATGTTTCTCCAAGACTATAAAACCCACACACTTTTGGTAGATGTATCCTAAAACATAAAATTGAATACTTACTTAAAAATTCTATATTCTATTTACGCATAATAAAATAAAGATTTCATCTTATTCGTGTGAACGCGTGAACATAGGTCATTTTTTCATATTGGGTGTTCAGAATATGGGCTATTTAAAACAAAATTTAGTGTTTGTACCAAACGTTTTGTAAAACTTGGTAAAATTTTTCACGTTTGGAATACATCTGGTCCGTAGTCTGTAGATTACAAATAGTGTGAGGTATTTTGCAATACAATATATAGGTATATATAAAATGTGTGGTTTTGTTCATCGACCTTTTTAGAGTCGAAATCATAAGTTTGCGACTATGCGAGGTCCTTTTCCTTGAAAATTCCCCTGAGTATAGTTAGTAATAGTTATACTTTATAGATGCCTAGATTTATCCTATATAATAAAGCCGCTCCCAAAGTGAAAATCCTTGATCTCGGATCGCCCTCACGCGCGACGCGAGTGTACAATGTACACAAATTGGAAACCAGAAAGGCAATATTGCATTAATATTGAACAACTTTTCTCTTATAGGTGTCCAATTATTGGCTTTGTCGCCACACTTGTTTGCTTGGTAAAATTCGAGTTATTATACCTATACCTACGCCTTCAGCATGCAGTGGCATACACTGATATTTCTAATGAGAGGGGGTTATATTAAAAAATTATAAATACCTATTCATCAAAATATTTTAAAAATTGTATTCACTTTTTATATATATATATGGGTACTTGTAGTAAAAAAAATGCTAAGAGTGGTTGTGGGGGAGTTTTAATACCCCCATCCTCTCAGTGTGTACACAACTACCTACATAAATATTATGTGTTATACTTATATTATATATAGTTTTAATATCAATCACACTACAAGGCACAACTAGTAGGTACTAAACTATTAACAATCAAGAGCAAAACGTTCCTCGTTATGTAGCTCCGTTTAGTTGTTGGTTCATCTTTATTTCTAATTCGGCGGGAATAGGTATATGAACGGAAACTCCATCGTGCGTAGGTATATTGTTTTGCGAATGATATGAATACACATTACACATTGACAATAAAATAACACACACGTGTCCAAAAAAAAAAATACGACGTGCTTGATTTCCTTAATTTTTTTACTATAGTATCGGTTCCTATAGGTACGACTAAATTATAGGTATAATATTTATATGCCAATAATATATTATATTCATTCATGTGATGTAGACTTACCTATGTTAAAGATATAATTTGAACAGTGCAATAAACTGCGTCCTGTAAGAGATGTTAATGATTATAATGGCTACATAAGTACATAAAGGTAACAATATATGCGTTGATAAAACAGAAGCATTAATTTTGAAATAAATAGTTTTAAATCAGTGTATATTATGTACGTATTCTAATAACTAATAAGTATATGTTTAAATTACTAATGTATGCGTATTTTTTAATTTCAATGGTCACACGTCAATACCCTACCTTCGATGAAATGAACAGAACGAATTGAATAATAGTCGTTTTTTATTGCATTGTAGACTTTCTGCTGTAGTTTGATGATGATGACGATATTTTTCCTGATTTCAGTTTTTAAATATGGCCATTAACTGGGAAATAGGGGGAATATGAAACGTAAAAAAAAAAAATTGAATAAACCTTGAAATTTGCTGTAAATTAGTATAAAAATAACTTAATTGAAAAAAAATTAATTAATTGTTTGGAAATAATATGAAAACAAAAATTAGAATGACGAATAAAATATTAATCAATAATACATAATGTATAATAAACATTTATATAATACATTTTTTTAAAATGCATACAGCTGCAGAAAATGCAATTATAATATTATATGGCATAATAATATTATATATTACATAATATAATTTCAAATTTGTCGTGTATCAGTTATTAGAAAATACTAAGTTACTAAAAGTAAAGTAGGTAGTAGACTATAATAGAGTACTGAAAAAAAATTCCTCAATTAAAATGATTACCTTATTATTAGTAATTAGTCGTTAGTTTACTTATTAGTTATTACTAATTTCTGATTACCTAATTTCGTGGTAAGTGATATACAGCAATTACACTTAATAACGATACCCAATTGAAATTTCGCAAAGCTGAAATCATAAATATGTATACATCATGTCATAATTTCCGATGGTTATTGTTTATTGATATATCTAACAGATACTATAGGGCAGGTCTGCAGAAGTTTCCAAACTGTTTTATTCGAGGGCCACATAAAATATGAAAAGCTTTTATCGGGCCAGAAGTGTATAAACACAATAAACAAGTGTAATTTTTAAACATGCTGTATATAGCTTAGAGATTTTGCTATAGTTTACAGATATAATAGTAGGCAATAATATAATATGATTATTATACAGCTCTTCTCGATATTCTACAAAACATTCATAACAACTACTTGATTTAGGTAATATTTTTTTAATAATATTAAGACATAATTTTTCTGAATATTAGATTAACCCTGTATCATAATTCATAATATATATGATATTATATGTACAATATAATATGATCAGATATTTAATACAAACAGGGTCAGTGATAGTTGTTAAAGGAATTAATATACCCATTGGAGGAATAAGACTAATAAGAGCTGAGTACCTAGGTAGATTGAATAAAGCAAGTGACATAGCTGAAGTGACTGTAATATACCAAATATACGTGTTTAGTGTAAGTGTATGACATCAAGGTTTATGGAGGTGTAAGACGACTGACTAGGGCGACCGGGTCAATATAGTTGGGAATCTAAAGCAAAGTAAAACAGTTAATTATTTGAACGATTTAAAACTTCTACACAAGATAATAATATGTTTGTACCATAAATTTCCTAGATTATCTTTTAATGAGACCGTGCGTTCGATATAAGGAGACATTTAATTTCAAAAAGAATCGAGAATATTATAATATTGTTGACGTCCCGACAGTTCTGATAAGAATGTTCGATTTCTCTGTACAATATGTGTTTTATACTTGTGCATTTTTCTTTACTTCGATAAAACTTTGGCCTTTCCTTAGTTTGTGACATTAGATACGCGATTGTATATACATGGATCTACTTTAAATACAACACATTAAAGTTTAAAAAAAGTATAAAAAGTTTATTAAAAGTTAATTTTATTGGGTATAGTTTAGACGACAAAAATTTATGTTCAACCATTCACACATACAAATTAGGTACGTACTTAAATATTATTTTTATTTTTCTGGAAAACAAAGAAAATATTCTCATAATTTTTACAAACATTTCATTGAAACATCAATACTTTAAAAAAAAGAAGGGTGAAGTTCAGCAGGTTAAGAATATGGTTTCCTATTTATTTCATCCCTTTACATAACGCCATCGCCAGGACTATTTTTTTATCGAATATATGACACTTTAATCTTTAATTTATTTTCTAAGTTTTAAACCTTATATGCAATGAAGTATTAACAGCACTTAAAAATCAACAGTATCAGATTTTGTATAAAATAAAATTTCTGTAAATCGTTTATTGTGTGCCAAGGGCAGAAAGTGAGCTGTTTCATTCGCAGGCAACGTGTGACATTTCGCCCAAGCTGAATTTCCGTACCGCACTAACGACGAGCTACACATATTATTTTTTGTCACGCCTCTGCGTTCATCGATCACCGCAAAGGGATAGTGCAGGGATCTATGCAACAACCAGCGACTATTATACAAAAACAATTTTATGAAAGAAAAATGTTGATGCTTCCTGCAAGGAGGTTATAATATAATATGAATATAAGATGTATCATGTATCCAAAAGTTTATGTTTCGTAAGGACCGTGGTATATAGATTTCAGTGTCTGCAGATAGTTCAGCCGCCAATGCCGGTGATACGTCCAGTACTTTTGGGGATTTCCACTTTACTGCCCTGCACTTTTTGGGTTCTCCTGCATTTTATAGCCCGGCACTATGGGATTCCCACTTTACTTTCGCTGGACGAAAAAAAGGCGCTTTCCAAAGCTTTGAAAGTCATCGAAAACTTAACTTTCGGTGCAAGTAAATAAGTAATTTATTAATATATCATTTTCTATTACGACGTTTATCCGTGAACAATTATAATTAAAAAATGAAATTAGATTAAAATGTATTTTGACTATATTTTCCAACAAAAATTAGTTACCGATACATAGTTAGGTATGATTGTCGATATATATTGTTGATTTTTATTTATTTATCGTCCCTAGTTAATGTACATAAGTTATAACATGTGAGGTTATAATGTATTGGGTATTTGCGCATTGTATTGAAACAGGTAAGCTTAGCAACCAGAAATTAGCA